CTACACTCTCATTCTGCTAATGACCCCATAAAATTGGTCTAAAAACAAGTGTTGGTCTTTTAGTAAGTTAACAGCTTGAAAGATTTCTCAGCAAAGTGAAACTTTCAGTTTCCCTAAGTTGCTAGCTTCAATGGCTAACATGAAGACAAAAGGGCAACTATACTCATGTATTAGCAAGTGCTACCTAATTTTACTATATATTCTTAACCAACAAGATTTTGTGACAGTTCTATCTTGGGATTCCACCCTGAGAAAAAAATAAGACTCCAAAATTGACAAGAACTTTAATTATTTCATTGGTGTGTTTTCAAAGAATATCACCCTTTGAGACATAGACTCCATGAATAGGTGGCCTCAGTTACTTGTACAAATACTTATACAAATACTTCAGCAGTATGCCACATCATGTTTTCTTAATAATGTACAATTAGCTTATATACACAAGATCCCTATGAGAAAAAGAGGTAAATAAATAGGACTCAACCTCCCATTTCACAGATTGGAAGTTTAGAAATAGGACAAGCGTGTCACTTCAAATCATAGTGTTGTCTTGATGCAGAATATTAGATAACACAAGTTAGGTTTTGAATGATTTGGTGGCACAACTGCTCTGACTCACCTAAGTGTCATCTTGAAATATGTTGATGTTGATAATAAAATGACAATATGGTAATTTGATCATAATTGTTACATTTGTCTTAAGGAAAAAGTAAAGTGTATAGGTAATTATTTTTATGTTGCATGCAAAAACAGAAGTAGAATTATAGTTAATTTATTATCTGAACCATTTTTCTGGGAGATTAGGATAGATCTATCATTAAATCAAGCAATAAAATTTGCAAGAAATTGAAGACTTCGCAGTCTACATGTGTCCTTAAAAAATAACAAAATAAGCAATTAGCCTCATAGCAATAAGTAAGTTAACCTGTATGTTACAAGAAATGTGTCTATGGAAATAATAAGAGGGATCAAGATTGATGGGGTGGACAGGCTGTAGGATATATTAGATTGGTAAGAAAGGTGTCATCAATGAATACTTCATGTGAAGAGAGACTAGCAAATAAAGATCTCCACAGAGTGCCGTGATGTGTTCACAGAACAGGGAGGATACCGGTGTAACTGAAGAGGTGTGTGCAAGCAGGGAGCTATGTGAGGGAGGTCAAAGAATGAATGGAAGACAGATCACTCAGGGCTGCACAGTTGTCCAAATCAGGATGAACAGGGTATGATTTCAGGGCTCTGTACAGGCAAATGATATTATATGATTTAAATTTTAAAAGACCTACCATTAATTTTTAAATTCTTAAAAAATGTATAATCCAATATATTGCATAACCTGTGCCATGTATCTTAATCACAATGTACCATCATTATCTCAGAATTAAATATCACTATTCTCACTTTCACAAAGAAAATATTGAGTCTCAGGATGTCTAAGGAACATCTGTGGGTGAGATCTAGTAGCAAAGCCAGGTGAACAACTTGTCTAACTTATTGTTAAAATCTGACTTCTCTTTTCTAAATACTTATGCATATTTGAGTTATAAATGGATTAAAATAATGCTTATTATTAACTATCCCATTAGCCACCAATGAGTTCTAATTTCACTATATTATTATTGAATTGAATATTCATCATTTCCCTTATTAATTTCTGGAGTATGACACAGATTATTTACCTGAAATTTCTATTTCAAGTAAAATGTACATTAAGGTTAAGACTTATAGAGAAAGAGCTGGTTAGGTAGTGAAAGTGCACACTGCTCTCAAGGAGGACCTGACTTTATTTATTTATTTCCCAGCACCCCCAAAACTTCCTGTGATGCCATCTCCAACAGAATCTGACATCACCAACCTCCAAGGACACCTGCAGCCATGTGCACATACACCCACACAGACATATACATAATTATAAATAAAAAGAACAAATGTTGTGTTGCAGAAGTGATGACAATAATTTCAATTTTCAAGAGTTCTCTTAGAAAATTTTCACAGGCTTTCATTTATTTTCAATCACTTTTTCTAGCTGTGTATAGGCACACAATTTTGCTATGTGCATTGCATATGTCATCATATTCAAACTTTATTAAAAGAACTGTAATACAAACTTTATTTCAGGAATAATAACTGTGCATCTACAGAGGCAGAATATTTCAAGCTTGAACAAGTGCTGAGAACCAGAGCTGGTATGGTAAAAGACTCACTTCTCTCACCAAGTCACACTGCTCCCCACAGCATTCACAACTAAAAGGACAGCCAGGTACAGGTATTCCCATTTTCCAGATAGTAAAAGCTAATCAAGTAATCAACATTTATTTTATGGCCGCGATAGACAGATCAATACCCGGTTTCAGAAATCACATAGGATTTATGGCACAAAGTCTCTATTATCCCATTAAAATAATAACAGAAGCATAAAGATGAAGTAAATAATACATGGTAATATGTAATAAGTTCTATGTGAGATATAGAAATAGCAGCTGTTAAAGAAACTCAGCAGACAGAAAGTTGAATCTGGGCATTTCAATTCAGTTAAGAAGGTCTGTACTAAAGACCACTGGCATCATAATGGTTTTCATAGAAATGCTAGATTTTCAGTCAGCAGAAAAATGGAATAGAAGTCATTCTAGTAACGGGTGATATAATAGCCAAAGGCCGAAGGAGCAGATAGAAGGGATTGTCAAAAGAAACTAGTAAAGTTTGAAGTGCAAGATAGATGGGAATTTACCTAAAATGGGAAATGCCCCCAGAAAACATGGATCCTAGGACAGGGGAGAAAGAAAATGGTTTTGCTAAACTATTATTATGGGGCACACATTTGGATACCCTTTGTTGTTATGCAATTTCCTAATCAGCTTATAAAGTAGAAAGGTAGACACACAGTGCATCTACCTTTAATCAAAGGAAACAAGCTTCTGTGCTCCAGCAGCTTTATGGAAGGGGGATGGAGTAGAGTAGAACACTACTCTAGAGAGGTTGACATATATCCTATGCTCTTCCAGTATCCTCATCACCATCCATCAAATTGAGAACCATCAAAGGTATGTGATCAAGAGAAGAGAGTGGCACACATAAATTAGCAATGTCAGAGTAACAGGAGCAATCAGACCATGAGATATTAGCAGATGGTCATTATTAAGGACTTGGGGAAGAGAAAGAGTAACCTAAGAAATGACACAATATACTACATTGAACCAAGTAACAAGACAATGAGAATCTGTACGTGAATGTGAGCAAGTGGAATTGTTAATATGACATACTACAAAAAAGAATTAGAGATCTTGGAAATATCTAAATTCAAAGACAGGTATCTTCTCCTATCCCACCATGCAAACTAAAAGCAACAATTATTTTTAAACTGAAAAGAAATTAAGTTAAAGATCTAGCTTCAAGACTTTTCAATTTATTTTGCATAACTTGATTTATATAAAAATAAAAATGCCTATGTCTGATATAAAAGAGCTTCCCTAATGCAATATACATCCTGAACTACCATTATGAATTTGGGCAGTGTTGCACCAGTCTTGTTTCTCTGGAATGAGTATGGTAAGAGTTGGAGGCATATTTTTCTAACTTGAGTAACGAGCCCTTATGTTCTTGCTAGTTAAAAATATCCAGTATTAAGGACATACAGCTTTCCTTTTCTTGTTTTCTGTTATAAATTTGTTTTCTTTTAACTTTTCTCATAATAAAATGATCTCTTGGAGATGCAACTTATCACTATGTCATATTTGAAACACTGTTCTTCCCATCTTCCCTGGGGGGGCTCTTTTAAACTCAAAATATTACTCAAGGATTCAAGTGAATATTAACAGTAGTTAAATGGTATACTGTTTTACAAGTTGAGCCTGTTTTCCTAATACTCTGAAGATATCCCAGACAATTTCCAAAGATACACTTAAAATAAACAACCTTCTATATTTATCAAAATAATTACTAATATAAAATACACATATTCAGTACCAGATCTTGACAAAGTCACCTGTGGATCAGGCTGGACTGGAATGAATTGCATAGCTAAGATGGACCTTGTACTTCCATCTGCTTGCTTCTCTTTCTCAACTGCTGAGATCACAGGTGTATACCACCAACCATTTGAATACAAACCCTAATCAGCAGGATTAGAAAGCTGTTTGTACTGGAGTAACCAAATAACTGTGCTGACCACAACCTGGCACAGAATGTTCAGCTAATTATATTTGAATCAAATAAACATTTCTTTAAGTATGTGTACATGGACATTTTTATCACATGTAGTTTCAAAATTAAAGTTTTTGTAACATATCTATATATGTAAAAATTGATGAATATTTGAATATTTAATCTTCTAAAAACTCATTAGTGACATTATTTTGGCTTGGGATATTTTGAGAAATCCTACATCTATGCTACTTTCATCTAAGTCTAGCATTACTTAGCAATGTTGAAGGGAAATTAAAACTTAGCACTTTAGCCAACACTAATTTTCATTACTTTCTTGGATAAAAAGAAATTGTTTTTACTTGAAAATTGTTGTTGAAGTTTTAAATTCAACTGTATGCTAACCTTGTAAAGCAGGATTATAACAACTACATATTTAAGGCATCTGTATTAATTATTAGTGTGTATCTGTACTGAAAATCTGTCTAAAGTGGTAATTAATGAACTCTTGATACTACACAAGTACATCAGATAAATAATTGCAAAGTTAGACATATTCTCTAACTGAAAAACAGGTGTTTTCCAATAAATTAATCAGAAAACTTCCCCCCACACACACACAAATTTCTCCATATAAATGTGGACATTCTATACAACATATATTAAATATGTTAGGCATGTGCAAAAAGAAAACAATAAGCTTGTAAGGTTTATTTTGTGTATCATACTTTCTGTTATCTAGGACATCAAATGCCTGATAATGTCTTCATGCATAAAATATATTAAGATGAGAATGTTGCCTTTAACTTGTAAAACCATTGTTTTTATTACAGTTTAATGTAAAGAAGAACTATTTTTACCTCCCAGTCCTGGTCTAAGCCGATTATCGTAACCATCCAGAAGTCTGTCTAGAATTCTTGTAAAGATGGTAATGTTATTTTTAGCCTCATCTTCTTGGATGTTAGCCAGCACCAACCTAAACAGATAATTTTACAAATTGGTATATATTATATATGTACATATAGTATTTGGCTAAAATGCCAAAATGCTCTTCTGACTTGATCTGAATTTGAGGTCTCTTTGGTCATTACTGACACACACCTCTTTCCTTCTTTTCACTCTATAAATAGCACTAAACAAATGGGGACAATAAATATGCTGTTTAAAATGGATAGAAAATATCAGAACATCAGAAGTATAATGCTAACTCTTTTGATATTTCTGCCACTTAGCATTCTGGATGAGATGTTGTCTTATAATCTATTGCATAGAATTAGAATATACCAGGCTTATAGATTCTCATGTGCAAACATGCTTGGCAAAATGTTTTCCAGTTAGATAGAGAGGCATCTGAAGTGTTTCTTCCATGTTGTGAACATTAATTGGAAAATAAACTGTCATCTCGGTGGTACAAATTTCTCTATCATTCCCATACATAGCATTATTTTTCTATGTCTTTGACGTTTTTTTAAGACCAAGACAATTTCCTGACTTGGGGTATACCTCCACCCAATGGCCAAGTGTAATATAGACATCAAGGAAACTCCACTGGCAGGCTGCCAGGCTCCAGTGTTGCCAAGAGATGGAGGTGGGCTCTGAAGGCAGCAGCAACACACAGCCTCACAGAGTCTGGGAAGGCTAGGTCGTTGGAGGATCTCAGAAGAGTGATATGGGGCTACATAAAGATAAAAGTGTCAAGTTACCCTTTCTTTGATGATAAATTTGTGGCAAGAAATGGTCTTAAAATATCACCTGCAAAGCTTTTGAAGCAGTGATTTTCTCCATTATTTCTCCATCATAAAGCCACAGACCTGATTTTGTGACAGCAATTTGATACCAAAGAAACTAAATGTATAAAACAGTGTCCCTTTTCATTGCCATCTTTTTCCAGAATGATTCAGAGATTTAAATTGCTGTCCCCAAAAAAGAATCATTTATATAATAGAATAAAATACTGTCATGAACATTATTGGTCAAATATAGAACAGAAAATGAGTAGAGTGATAGTTAAGCAGTCAGTGGTACTTCTCAATGGTTATTAATTGATAATAGATTGTCTATGCCTTGAAAGTCAAAGATCAGGTGTACTTACATTCTAGTCAAAGTATATCATATAAAACATCATTGACGGATACCATTTACATTGAAATGAATGCTGAAACAGTAGCTAACAATACTCATAATACATCAAAATTGGCAACAAACATCTAGCTAACATTTTGAAAATAAGAATGAATATTAAAATGGCAACAAGAAGATGAATAGCCTCAAATTATGTAAGTAAATCAGTTCATGCACTCTACTGGCAAAACTTTCTCTTTGCCTATTTAAGCTAATTTAAAACCCCTCCTAGGGTAGTCACAGGAGTCTGAGATTTTCACTCAGAGGTGTTTTTCAGTCTTAATTCATATTCTGTTTCTAAAGTCAATATTCAGTTAGAGTAAGTATTTCTCAATTAAATTAAGTATTTCCAAATAAACTTCTTTTTATTTCCAAAATATCTTTTCACACTTTGAAGATTATTTGGTCAAAACTCTTATGGGGAATAATAAAATGCTATAATAAATATTTACTTAAAAGTAATGGATATAGAAGAATTCTTACAAAATTTGTATTTTAATTTTTCTAGGATTTAAAAACATTTCCTAAATGCATTAAATGAAAACACCTACTGTTTATTTTTTTAAATCAGAAAAGATTACTATTAATATGAAATTGCTTAAAGCAATCAAATTAACGTCCATGTAGACAATAGGCAAAAGGAAAACCACACATTTGAAATAAGAACTCTTTCATCAGTAACCATCTTAAAAGAAAAAAAATATATCTAAATTAATGAGATGAAAAGTTGGTTCCTACATCAAGCTTTTGTTTTATTGTTTGTGATTGTCAAGTTGTATGCTACCTCCACCTAGAGGTTTGATGTTCACATGTCATTTGGGTTTTCTATGTTGTTTATAGAAGCCCCAATGATGGAAAACAAAAACTCAAAGGAAGAAACAGAAAGAAAAGAAAAAATCTAAGTTGCCACTTAAATCATTTAGCTGATATTTTTCTGTCAGCTCTGAGGAGAATTTGGCCTCCTGGACGGATTTGGATATTACTATAGCTACATGTACCTTAACCGCAGGCATTCTTTGGACTAATATACTTCTCATAGGTAGTCTCTTCTTCAGTCAAATGTTTCATATAGAAAATGTGCCCGTTCACTTTTGTTTGTTATTGCTTTAAGAAAAAAGATCAGCAAAGTTTTCAGAGTTTCAAACAGTTACTGGGTCAATTTCCTATACAATACATTTCCATTAAAACACCTCCACTCTAAAAAATACAGACACACTTATGGCATGTAATAACCACGGCTATACCTGAAATGAAGAAATCAAACACAGCGTCTCACCTGGCTGGGTCCCACACCAGGAAAACAAGCAGCAGAGAACGTACATTGCAGGTGTTCAGTTTTGTCCTCATCTTCCTTCTTTGCGAAGCTATAGAAGAAAAACAAAATAAAATTAAAATTGTTTTCAGTCCTACCATGCTAGTAACCCAAAAGAATGCCATTTCAATTGTGGGGGCTGGGGTTGTTACTCCAGTGTACTAGGTGTATAGGTGTAGGGCTAGATGACTGGAGGCGGAATTTTTTTTAATGGCAAGATGAC